TTCAAATTTGGGCAAGATGTCGAGCGACACTACTTCCCAGCCCGCCTCCTCGAAGGCTTTGCCAATTGACTTCGTGCCGCAGAACAGCTCCAGCAGGGTGCAGGCGGCGGCGCAGTTCATGATCAGGCAATCCAACTGGGTAACCGGCATCTCTGCTCGGACCAACTTTTTTCTGTTAGCCTGAAGAAAAGCGCGATGAAACCCTCGAGCCAAGAGCCCAAGCAGAGCATGTGGCGTTTGGGCGACGTGCGCTCCAACGCGAAAGGAGGCAAGTTCCTGACCTTGGAGCCGTTGATCTGGCGCAGCGACGCCGCTTTGGAAATCCCCTGGGAGCCCAAAGCTTTTGTCGAGGGCCAGCGTCCCAGCGTGAGCTTCGCGACCGACGAGCCCACGAAGCTCTTTTGGGAGCGGGCAGAAGACGACCTGGTGGAGCAGCTGGCGGCCGCCTCCGAGACCGTATTTGGCTCAAAGCTCACGCCCGAATCTGTGCGCCAGCGGCTGCTGCCCTCCGTGCGGCAGTCTCGCGGCGGCGAATGGCTGCTGAAGGCCAAGCTGCCGGCCTACGCACGTTTTTGGGACGCTACCGGCGCGCCTGCTGACCGCCCCGCCACGCTTGCACGCAACACCGCAAGCGTTCGGTTGCAGGTTCGCAGCCTGTGGATGATGAGCGGGCAGCGCGGTCTCACGCTTGAGGTCGCGGATCTTCGCGTGGAGCCTCCCTGCCGGGAATGCCCGCTTTGAATCGAGGGTTGCCATGCGGTGACGCGTGTTGAGCGGAAAAAGAAAAAAACAACCATAACTTCCCGCAGCTGGAGGGTAGCTGGCGCCGATGCTGGTGGTGATGCTGTGATGTTTGCGGTGATGCTTGCGGTCGAGCGGAAAAAAGAGAGGTTAAAAACTAATAGCTTTAATTTCCTGCCCGGTGACGGGTGACAACGCAACGAAACTAAGTTCCTATTTTCCACGGATTTCCAAACGTGCTTGACTTTTTTGCGAGTTTTGTTTGGTTGGGAGCTTTTCCTCCTTAGCCTGAGCTACTTGGACCACATTGATTTAGAGGGTCAAATAAGGCGACCTCATTCACTGCACGTTTCAGGCGTTCGGTTTGAATGTCGGTGAGTTGCCTGCAGACAGATGTGGTTCAAAGAGCAGCCTGCTCCGCAAGACTCGAACAGGCCCCGAACGCAGAACGAGTAGCACGTTTTTCAGCCTGCAATTGTTCTGTCATTTGTCGCGAGGTCGATGGCTCATCAACACGGCTGGGGAGATGAGTGGAGGCAGAGCTTGCGCAGGTTTTTTATTCCCTTTACACTTTGTTTTTTTTCACGTATGGCAGGAATTGCAGTTGGCAATCAGATCAGCATCACGCATGGCAAGATGAGTGTAGGAGGGCTCGGTATCCTTAATGCCATCCAACCCCACCGTCAAAGCCTCCGCAGGAACGATTTGCGCCGAGCTGGATGCGTTCATCAAAATGACGGAAGGTCGGGGCCTTCTCGGACTTTTGTCGTTCGCAACTGCTGTGAGTTTTTTTGCAGGCCTCAACCAAAGAAAAGCAGCCAGAGGAGGACTCTGTGAGTTTTTTGTTTGTTTGAAGGTTACGACTTGCTCTTCAGGCCTCCTGCCTATGAAGAAAGGCAGTCAAAGCAAGTTTCGCAGGCGGCTGAGATTGTTTCGATGCGTTCGCAGTTTGCGCTTTTTTCAGGTGGCCCAGATCGCAAAGTTGACCGCAGAACTCGAAGCTGAACGTACAAAGAACTCGGAGCTATCGGAGAAGGTGGCGAGGCACAAGCGTTGCAAAGAATGTGACTGATGCCTTTACCGTTGACTGACAGGTGCAAACAATATTGCGAGGCCGCGAGCCTCAAGTATCTGGACCAAATTCAGGAAATCTCAAGGTTGAAGGCTTTGCTTGAAGCTCGTGAGGCCGGGGGAGGTGCACATGCTGTTTGGTTTCTGTTCCTTTTCGCAGGAGGCCTCCTTACCTGCCAACAAGCGTGTGAAGAGTGTCAGCAAGGCCAATCACGACTCGACACAACCTTGGGGGGGTTGCGCCGGGATTGCAATCGCTCAATCTTTTTCTTTGAAGGCAAGCGCCATCAGTCAGCCATCCGCACCGCCTCCCGCCTGGCACTCGGGAACTGACGCAAAGCGCTTTTCATGTTTTTTCAACAAGGATTCTTGAGCTTTTGGATTCATGTTTTCGTCTTTGATTTCCATCAGGCAAAAGCTGGATCTCAGCCTGTTGCTCCACCTCCAGACTCAGCCCCAGAATTTCACGGTTTCCATCTCACAAGCGTTTTTGTTACAACGTTTTTTCATGACAGTTGATCTCGCATTAGGCGTCAAAGAAGAAGAATTGAGCCGAGCAAATTTCAGGCCGTTGATTCATTTTTTTCGTTTGTGCCAGCATTGACTTTTTTTGCACCCCGTCAGGCACCAAGGACACTGAGAGGCCACTTAGTCTTGGAGCTGGCCGTCCGCAAGCGCAAAAACCACGCTTGGGCCTGCGGGGGGAGCGCTTTGTGGATGGTGCTGAGCAAGCACCATTAGGAGATGCTGAGCAAGCATCTTTAGGAGATGCTGAGCAAGCATCTAGAGCGCCGAACAGGCGCGGCGCTGAACAAGCGCCTAGGGTGCCGAACAGGCACGGTGCTGAGCAAGCACCAGCGGATGATTGCCCCAGACCGTTTTTAGGTCGAGTGGTTTGACTCGCAGATTCAACTGCTACTTCAACCCGCGTAGGATGAGCGCATTTTGGGCGTTGCTTCAGCTCGCGTAGGTTGATTGGATTGACTCAATCGCGGATTTTGAGACTTGAGCCTGCGCCCAACTTGCTTCGTTGCTAGATCGCCCATCGAGGTTCGACGCTGGCTCACCCAACGTGGTTTGATGCTAGCTCGCCCAACGCGCTTCGACGCTTGCTCGTCAACGCCGTTTGATGCTTGCTCGCCCAACGCCGTTTGACGCTTGCTCGCCCATCGAGGTTCGACGCTGGCTCACCCAACGTGGTTTGATGCTAGCTCGCCCAACGCGCTTCGATGCTGGCTCGCCCAACGCCGTTTGATGCTTGCTCGCCCCAACGCCGTTTGACGCTTGCTCGCCCATCGAGGTTCGACGCTGGCTCACCCAACGTGGTTTGATGCTAGCTCGCCCAACGCGCTTCGACGCTGGCTCGCCCAACGCCGTTTGATGCTTGCTCGCCCCAACGCCGTTTGACGCTTGCTCGCCCATCGAGGTTCGACGCTGGCTCACCCAACGTGGTTTGACGCTAGCTCGCCCAACGCGCTTCGATGCTGGCTCGCCCAACGCCGTTTGATGCTGGCTCGCCCCAACGCCGTTTGACGCTTGCTCCCCCATCGAGGTTCGACGCTGGCTCACCCAACGTGGGTTGACGCTAGCTCGCCCAACGCTGTTTGATGCTGGCTCACCCAACGCGCTTCGACGCTTGCTCGCCCAACGCCGTTTGACGCTTGCTCGCCGACGTCGTTTGATGTTTGCTCGCCAAACGCCGTTCGACGCTTGCTCGCTCGACGCCGTTTGACGCACATGCTCAATCGTGGAATTCTGTGAGCGTTGTCATGTGAAGCGCGGTCAGAAGGTGCTTGAAACTATGGAAAACGATACCTTTGTGCTACAGACCAAACGCTGGAAAAAACGATAATGACTCTCTAAATTCGAATGTACTTACTGTGAACAACAAGTTTTTGACGGAACTTCATGTCACACGGCCAATCTCATCGAGTTCATGATGTGCGCTTGCTCGCCCGACGCCGTTTGAATTCTGTGAGAGTTGTCATGTGAAGCGCGGTCAGAATTTACGGAAAAGAAAAGTAGTCTACACTTGGACATCCATAGGTGCTTGAAACCATGGAAAACGATACCTTTGTGCTACAGACCAAACGCTGGACAAAAACGATAAGGGACTCTCTAAATTCGAATGCACTTACTGTGAACGGCAAGTTTTGACGGAACTTCATGTCACACGACCAATCTCATCGAGTTCATGACGTGTGCTTGCTCGGTCAATTCTGTCAGCCGGCAGACATTTGTAGAAAAGAGAGTGCAAGTCTTAGTCTGTCAGCATTTTAGCAATCATGTCGTCTCGTGGCGAGCAGCTCTCAAAGTGCTTCGCCACCCTGCAGAGGATTGCAGCAAGAAGCGGGCCTCTCAGGAGATGACTGTGGATGAATGCAAAGAGAAGCGCAGCAAGCTCCAGAGGGCGTGGAAGAGAATGAAGGAGGGTAACCCGAAAAAGGAGGAGGCGGAAGCTGAGATCAGGGAGCTGGACGAGCGGATCGTTGGAAAGAAGATCATGGAGGTCTTGCCAGTTGCCAGAGCCGCCAAGTCTGAGACTAGCGCTGCAAAGCAAGAGGTGATGCAGATCTCTGAGCAGCTGCAGAAGCACATCCAGAGGCTCGAGGTCATCGACGCCTTGCAAGGGCAGACCATTGGTGGGCTCGAAGGCTGAGTTTTTTTCTTGGTACAGCGCTCGAAGCTAGATTGTGCTTTGAGACTCAGACCAGGGCCATTTTTGAGAGCGCTTCGTGTATAGCTTTTTTGGCGCCCTCAAGCTTGTGGTGAGAACAGGCCACCAGCTTACGGCATTACAGCAGCCCCTGTGGGGAAGTCTATGGTGCATGCTTGCGCCCCCCAGGATGCACACTCGCTACAGCAGCGTTGTGACATACTTTCGCATGAGTTGACGTGAGTTCAAAAAAACAGAGCAGCGTACTAGTCAGCTTGACATCATTTTTTTTTCAGTGATGTGCTCAGACACGTTGTCAAGAAACCCACATTGAGCGACGCGCTCGTAGGTTGACAAGAAGTCGTCATGTTGCATGTGTGCTCAAGATGACGACTCCGGAGCAGTCTTGCGACGCATCATGAACAGCAGCTGTCTTGTGTTGCGTCATGAACTGAAGCGTTTCGTCGGACAGTCAACAGTCACCATGTCAGATAATAGAAAGAGACTATAGTTGTTTTTTCCTTAGCGCACAATGGCGGTGAGAGCGTCCTTCTGGACGAGGAGTCTGGTCTATGAGCCGGAGCCGAATGTGGTGAACACAGACATCACCTCGCCGATCGTGGCGATGGCGCCGGCGTTCGCTGACTTGCTGGCGGTGCAGCTGCCCTTCCACGCAAAGATCGTAGTCGTCTACAGGATCGTGAAGCAGGTGTGGGTGTGGGAACAGGACGACGAGCCGCTTGAGGAGAGGGGGCGGTTCTACGCCAACTCACCGCCTTGGATCGTGCATCCGGCTGCCGGTGTGGAGCAGCGCTTGCAGAACATGGCTGGGGAGGCGAGGTACCTGGTGGAGAGCCTTCTGAACTCCGCCCGCTTCTGGAGCAGCGAGTGGACCGTTCGGGGCATCGAGAGGGTGGAGCTGAAACTCGCGCCTTCTGGTGAGGCATTGAGGCTTCCAGCGCCAGCAGTGGGTGGGAGAAGCTGCCTGCAGGCGCAAGGTAGCAAGGGGATCTGGAATCCGAAAAACACCAGCGACAGCAGGTGCTTTGAGTGGTGCGTGCGAGGATACCTGCTGGGGGTGGGAGAGGCGTCGAGCGATGACAGAAAGCTTGCGAGCCGCATCAACGGCAGCTTCTTCTTCAACAAGGACGGCTTCCTGAAGCCTGTGGACGTGAGCTTTGCTGGCTTGAGAACTCCGACTACTCTGGAGGACATCTCCAGCTTCGAGGAGCAGAACCACGGCAGGCTGGCCATCACGGTCTGGAGGTGGACGCGGCTGGAGTGGGAGGGAGCAACCTTTTTCGAGGAGGTGACGGTGAGAACGCCAACGGAGGTCGCTAGAAGGAACGCTCAGCACGAGGTGAACCTGCTGCAGCTGAGTGGTGGGCACTTTTGCTTGCTCCACAACATGAACGCCTTCAGAAGTCACAAGGGCGCTCACCTGCCTCCGCTGCAGCATAGGCTTCAAAAGTAAAGAGGGCCTCAGGATGCACGTGAAGGAAAAGCGCTGCGGCATGCTGATCACCGACCGCACTGCGGCATTCCGCATGCCGGCGACTGACGATGAGGCGCAGCTGACCTACAAGCCTGGCAGCTCGGCAGAGTTGCACCCCATCTTCGTGACAACGCCCAACCCACGTCGGGAGACCAAGCTAGAGGGTTCGCTTCAGCCGGCTATGCTGCCAAGTGTGAAGCGGGCTTCTCGCTGCCGGCAGACTTGCAGGGAGGCCTCTTTCACCATGAGGGCTTGCAGAACGAGAAGAGCGTGCTTGAGCGCTTTCTGGATCGGATGTTTGAGATGGCGAGACGGTACAAGGAGTGGCGGTGGAGGGTGGCAGACAGACCTTGGAGCATGAGCGAGGAAGACTGGAGGAGGTACCACAGCGAGCACGCGTGCAGGGAGTGTGGAGCGCAGTTGGATCGGAGCAACAAGGTTCGACATCATGAGCATGGGACAGGCCGTTTCCTGGCTGAGTCTGCAATGGAAGGGTGAGGTTGCCGTCTCAGGTGCCCATCTTCTTTCACAATGGCGGGGTGTACGACTTTCACTTCCTGTTGAAGGAGATCAGCCGCTTGATTAACCGCAACTCCAGCGACGATCCTTCGGAGCAGCCTGTGGAGGAGATGGAGGAGGTGGAGCCTGACGCCGGCCCCGCGGAGGACGAGGTGGTGGACTCCTACACCGAAGAGGAAGCTCTCGAGGAGCAACTGCAGCAGAAGCTGGCCATCATCGGCGACTACAGCCGCATGAAGTTTTCTGTCCTCGTCAAGTCGGGAGAGAAATGCTTGTCTTTCCAGCTTGGACCGTTGCAGTTCCTCGATTCCACCAACTTCGTCAAGGAGAGCCTCGATAAGACGATCGAAACTCGAAAGAAAAGGCGAGCTGGCAGCCTGCCCGAAGCTTTTCCGCTGGTCGCAGCTTACCACCCAGAGCTCAGGGATGTCTCCGAGGAGAGGAAGGAGCAAGTCTGGGAGGCCCTGATGCGGAAGCTCCCCATGCCGTTCTCCAGATTCAACGGACCTTCCGCCTGGAGCCGCGAGGCCGTGTGGGAGCGCGAGGCCTACGACAGCTTCCTGAAGAACGAGAAGTGCTCCGAGGAGTCGTACAATCAGCTCCTGGAGACTCGGGACATGATGCGGTGGACTTCTTTCAGGCAGTTCCACGATTGCTACCTGCACATGGACTGCCTCGCATTGCTAGATGTCCTGCGCGAGGTCGCTTCTTTGAATACTTTCATCTCGACTTGCTCCAGTACATAACCTTGCCTGGAGCATCGTGGCACGCGCTGCTGAAAAGCGTCGGCAAGCCTATCCAGCTGCCTAGGACAATGGATGTCTACAGCTGCATCAAGGAGGGCCTCATGGGCGGGTTGTCAGCAGTTATGCAACCATATGCTAGGGCCGACGCTGACGCGTCAAAGAAAGTGGAGCTCGCATCTCTTCTACCTGGATGTGAACAGCATGTACCCAGCCTGCATGTGTCAGCCCATGCCGACGGGCAGAGCTGAGCTTCTTGAAATTCCGGAAGCTGACACATTGAGCTGGCTCCACAACCTCCTGAACAAGCCTCTGGATCCCCAACGCTGCTTCCTTGGACTACGATTTTTTCGAGGACCTTCACGACGCTCTCGATTTTGCACCCCCTTGCAGGATGGCGGTGCAGCGCGAAGACCTGGGCCCCTACGCAAGCTGCTGGCGTCGGAGAAGCTGCCTAAGAACGCCAAGCTGGCACCCTACCTGGGCAAGCACGTGCGGGAGGCGGTGGACTTGGAGAGGCTCCAGTACATGCGGAACGTTATGGGAGCGAGGATCTGGGCAGTCCACCGCGTCATCAGCTTTGAGTGCACAGAGCTGCTCGAACCGTTCATGCGCAAGATCTATGCGCAGAGAAAGGAGCTGAAGCGGCTGGGGCAGGCTGACGGAGAGCAGACTCTGAAGCTAGTCATGAACTCCATCTATGGCAAGGCGGTGCAGGACTGTTCCCGCTTCAAGAACACCAATGTGTACACCAACGCGATCAGCTTCGAGAAAGCCCAGGCCCGCAGCAGCATGGTCGACTATGACTTCTTCCCTTCGGACGGTGACTTCATCGGCTATGTGCACACCATCGGCAGAAAGGCTAAGCTGCTCAAAAGTCCCCTTCAAGTAGGGTGGCGCACGCTCGAGCTAGGCCTTCTTCAGCAGCCTGAAGCCAGCTTTTCCTTTGCGCAGGCCTTTGGGGACCGACACAGACAGTCTGGTGGTGCAGGTGTGGTGCTGCCGTGGGGTAGATCCTCGAAAGGTCTTGGCCGAAGCCAACATCTCTTTGCCTGATGCAGAGTTTGACCTGGGCGACTGCAAGGAGGGTCAGGAGGACCTACGCTCTTTCACTGAGGCCGAGCTCATCAGTCTGAGGAAGAAGATGGGAGCGCCTTGTGACGAGTCCTTCCCTGGCAAGTTGATGGAGTGGGTCGGCCTGTGTGCGAAGCAGTACTCTAAGAAGGTGCTCCGCGGTGAGAAGGTGGAGGAGGAGCATCGGTGCAAGGGGGTTCCCACGAGGCACTTGAATGCCACCCATGAGCTGTTTCGAGAAGTTCAGCGGGAAGGGTCAAGGGCCACAAGCTGTTTCTGGAGTGGAAGCAGAAGCGGTCGCTGTGTCCCTTTAATGACAAGTGCTACCAGTTGTCGAATCGGTACTGCAGACCTCACGGCCACTGGAAAAACAAGTTCTGGCCGGTTTACGAGGGCTTGGAACACAAATTTCACCTGCTCGAGAAAGTCTTGAGCTTTTTGTCATTGTCGCCAGCTCAATGTACAGAATGGGGCAAGCCTCTGAGAGAGCTTCTCACAGCGAAATCAGACTTGCTGTTCCAGGAGCAACGGGTGTTTTCAAAAAAACGGCAACATGAGGATGATGACTAGTACAGTGAGCCTCTCCAGTGTGCAGCGGTTTGGGCACATACCAGATGTAAGTACGATGGTGGACAAAAAGAAGCGGCTTTTTTTCTTGTTTTTCTTTTTCGTTGTCTGTGAGCGCATGGAGCGACGCAGTTGACATGCTGACAAAACAACGCGACCGCGAACAAAGGTGACAAAAAAAAACGCGACCGGTGACAAAACGTGACCGAAGCTGACAAAAAACGCGACCGAAGCTGACAAAAACCCTGACAGAAGCTGACAAAAACCGACCAAAGCTGACAAAACGCGACCGAAGCTGAAGGCGCGCGGAGGGGATTCCAGCCAGTGCGTCGGAGGCCCCGGCTTCCGCCCATTAGGGAGCGTGCGCCCCCTGCAGTTTAACACCTTTGGTCGTGTTTTGTCAGCTTCGGTCACGTTTTGTCACCTTTGGTCGGTTTTTGTCGACTCCAACCTTCTGCAGGTCTCTCGCCCGCACCTTCTCCCGCCAACCTTCCAGCGTGAACAGGGGCCCCATGTCTGTTTGCTCGACCGCGGCGGTAGGATTGTTAACACGTCCGACTTCGCGGACGACCTATCTCTGACCAAGAACTGGGCGGGCTGGAGCAAGGTGCAAGTGTCCAACAACAGCACCGCTTCCAACAGCGGGCCGGAGCTTCGACTTCTCGGAATCAATCCGCACGAGTCGGACGGCGGAGCGAACTCATCATGATCAACGACGAGGCCTTGATACAGACTAAGAGCCTGTTGACGCAGCTGTCGCTCACGACGAACCGCGGAACCCAAGATGCCTGGTGGTCGCCGGCAACACCGGCAACGTGGTCTGCAACACGAGTTTCACCAACTTGTCGGACAGCAGGGTGAAGACGGAGATGGCCGAGACCGACGTGGAGGAGCTCAAGCAGCTCTCGACTCCGTTGAAGCGAGCAGTACAAGCCCGACATGAACGGGGACCTGAGGCTGGGCTTCGTCTCGAACGACTTCGCAGGAACAAAGTGGAAGAACCTCACGGGCACCGCCCGGTGGAGCGAGAGAACGAGCCTCAGTATCGCCCAGGCATGGGAACAACAGCATGGTCGAAGCACGTCAACAAACCATCAAGGCAGTCTACGAAGACCCCCGCACCGGCTTTGGCAGCATCACTAGACTTGGAGGCAGGCGAGAGCGCGGGACAGACCATCACCCGTCAAGAAGTTGCTTCATACATCAACAGCTTGAGAGTTCAACGCGATAGGCCCCAGCGTGGCTATAACTCCTACACCTGGCGGACATGAAGGCTTTTGGAGCCGCACCATACCCCTTCCTGCTGGTGGCCATCGATTCCTTCACTAAGAAGGTTTCGGCTGTGCCCCTTAAAGACAAGAAGGCTTCGAACACCGCCATGCCCTGCGTAAGGTCATCGAGGACCTTGGCATTCCCGCGAACGTCTAAGCGACGGTAGTACGCAGTTCAAAGGACATTGACAAGCACGTCACCAGGGGGCACGCCTATTTCGCGGAGAGGATGATACGAACCTTGAAGGAGGCGATCCTGGAGAGGTGTGGGCAGACGGGGGCAGTGGCACCAGCTGCTGCCCGACATCTGGCGCAAATCAACGGTAAGCAGAGCACCACGAAGGTCACGCCCAACGAGGCCTACAGCGAGCCTGCAAAGGCCCGCGAGGCAAGGCGCAACATGGAGTACGCCGCGAAGTATAAGGCGCCGAGCCGGCCGGAGATCGCCACAGAACCTCGTCAGGATCTGCGCAAGCCCGTCGTGCAGCAGGGCTCCTACAGGGTGACCGAGTCCGCATGGAGCGTGACCGAGAGCGTGTTACCAGCGAAGAGCTGTGGCGCCCTGCGTTGGCCGTGTTGTTGATGGTGAGTGTGCTGCCGGTGATTCCGGTGGCCGAGCTTAGCAGGCCCACGCTGGCCGCGCCGGTGATGCTCAGCGAGCTGCCTGACACGGCAGCATGGCTCCGGCGACGGTGCCTGCGGCTGTGAGCGCTGCGCAGGAGACTGCGCCCGAGGCGTCCACGCCCGTCGTGAAGACGTCCGTGCAGTTCACGTTGTTGCAGAGCAGCTGGTCGCAGCCGATGTTGCCCTGCGCGGTGAGCCCGTCCAGCGTGGCCGAGCCCGTGAGGGCCAGCGAGTCGGCCAGCAGGTCCGTTACGAGACCGACTCTCCCATCGACCTTTTTTTTAATTTCCGCGCGCCACTGTCGTAGCGCCCACTTGGCCAGTTCAAACGAGCCAAGAAGGTTTCGGATATTAACGAAACAACCCCAGCCTCCAGCGCTATTCACAGTAGAGGCGAAAAACCCGAAGTCCTGTAACGGAAACAGGGGAACCCAAACAGACCAGCCACCACCAAAACAAACGAAAGAACACACACATCACACATGCAAAGTCGGCACAGGCATGGAGTGAATGTTGCGCGCACCATGCACAGCACTGATGAAGTCAAGCATACTGCCAGTGCCATCACGTGAAATACGCATATTAATGCCAGCAAGTTTTATGGGGCAGCCAAAAGTGCGTGCGCTCGCACAAGAAGTCAGCCTCCCACAAGGCAGCACCGGGCCAACAAGCTTATCCAAGGCAAACAGATGTCTCTTGAAACAGCGAAAATCAGCAAGCAAAATTCTAGGTATAAGTCTCACCTCTGGGTTACGGCTCTCGTGACACCAAAGTTTATTGACAAGCAAAGGCGGACGACACTTCATATCAAAAGTGGCGTGCCAGAAGACTTCAATCCATGAGGTATCAGACAGGCTCGGCACGGACGTGTGCGGAACCCACTTTAGGGAAGAGCACCAAGCTGCCAGCATGTTGACATAGTCAATCATCAACCGGGCAACGGAGCTCCAAGCCAGGGATCTGGAAGGTTGTCCAGGGTGGCAACCCTCGCAGGGACAAGTAATTCCAGTTTTGACGCACAGGCTCCGCGGTGGAGGCATCAACTGGATCAGCCTTACTGACATGCTTGGCAACTTGCAAGTGGTACTTAACCAGCAATGTATAGCTACGGACACACCCACCAGCTTCGTCGACAAAAGTTTTGCGCGGATGAAAAGCATCCCTCCACTCGTGCAATGCTTTTTTGGCCGCTGCATCAACGATGTCATTATAGAAAGCCTGCCATTGTGACGTTCCAGAGCACGTGCGCCAATTGACATGTCCCTTAACCCAGTGCACCGAGCTACCAGGGGACAAACCCTTTGCCGCACCATAAATCATGCACCACAAGTCAACATTTTGGCGAAAGGACGGGCACGGGCCGCCGCGGTGCAGATGGTCAAGGATGGCCTGGGCTCCATCAACAAACACCTTGCAATCGCCCTTGCTAGCGGCTGCAAAGGCAACGTATCCGGCCAACATCTCCGCACGAACCACATTTTGATTACTAGTAGGAAGTGCCCCTTTCCAGAACAGCTCCCAGTCTCCAAACTGAGCAGAATTATCGAAATGAGGCACCTGGATGACAGCAGCAGCTGCCAATCTCCACCACGGTCGTTGTGGAAAACAAGCACTGGCATCTGTAAAGAGAATCCAAGGCTCCACGACATTAGTACGGGGTATCACAGGCCATGGCACCCGGTCCAGGAAAGCCAACATGTCAATCAAACTTTGAGGAATTTCCTGGAGGCGATAAAGTTTGGCAATGTTAGGTAACTGGGGCCACAATGTGAAAAGCTCCGAGTGAGCCTCACGGACAGATTCCAATGCAGGGCAAGAGGCAAACCGATGCTCACGGGAATCAAATTGGCCACACAACTTGCATCTGTCGTCGGGAGACCAGTGACGATAGAAATCGGCTGTGAAACTGGCACCGACTTGCACAGCAAACAGGTAAGCAAGTTCCTCCTGAGTAAGGGATGCATGAACAGCTGCTGATTGGATCCAAATGCTTTGCAAATCCTGCAACGATTTACGATGCGCAACTTTGGGAGCAATGTGACACCCCCAAGCAAGTTCAATGATTCTACGGACATGTTTCGAGGTTGAGGTGCTCAAATGCAATTTCACACCTTGCCACTGGAAAGAGTCACGAAAGCAATGGATGAAACCAAGCTTGAGAAGGTCCGCATGCAGAAGTGAACCAGCACCGCTCATCTTAGGGTTTGGGATGGTCAACGAGTGAACAAACCGATCTGCGAACATGGGAACGTGGCGACAAAAGTTACGATAATTGAGGACCCGGTTAAGGGCAACTTGAAACTCGGGATCAAGGCAACCTAGTGCGGTAGCAGCACCAACAAGCCAAGGACTGGCACCTTGGGGAGCTTTCATAGCGGCTGCCACTGCCGTTCGCAAATCTGCATAAGTCGTTTTTCCCAGCCTCATGATTTCGGCACCATGCAGGGCCTGGGTCCATACCCCTTGTTTAACAAGCCTGGCTCGAAAGCGCCTGCCGGTAGGTAATTTTTTGATGCGGCAGCATCTTCTTTTCCCTTCCAAGAAACGTTTGTTGCGCAAAGCCACTTTTTTTCTTTCGGGTATAAAGAGTCTGCACACCAAGATTTACCGCATCACGCTTGCAAGATATGGGAGCTCCCAGCCAAGTGATAGCGGCAACCTGTTTACGAGCATCAGACCCGTAGGCCCACGACCAACATTTTTCCGGGGCGAAGGACAGGCGCAT